TCCTGAGCATCCCAATGGGAATCCTCACCGACACCATCGGTCGACGACGCCTGCTGATCCTCAACGTTACCGTCCTGTGCCTGACACAGGTGTGGACTACTTTTGTCACCTGGTTCAACGGCCAAATACCTCTTCGCGCCATCTGGCTGGGCGCAGGCCTCAATCTTGTGAGTGGTGGAGTCATGGTGACAGAGTTTCTTTTTGTGGTAAGCTCTCCTCGCGCAAAATGGATTGCATAGGCACACAACTGATGGGTCCACAGTGTATCCTGACCGACGTCAGTTCGAGTGACCGAGTGTAAGTTGTCGAGCTTTGAGGGCTGTGTTGATCCTGAGTGGACGTTTTGTAGCTAAACCGTGTTTGGGGCAGAGTCGAGACATTCTTCCGTTCAACCGCATTCAGCTACTTCAGCAAGGTCATCGGACCCGTCCTCGCAGCGACTCTTATGCGGCGTGATCCGTGGCTCGCCATCTACCTCGGGCTCGCGCTGCTAGTAATCACCGTTATCGTCGTCACTACCGTCCCAGAAACCCTCCACTGGCAAATTGCTGCTGCACGGGACGGACGATCCAGGATACATGGTGACGAGCCCGCTACGAGGTCGATAGATCCCAAATGTGATAGCAGCTGGCGACGCTCAAAAGTGCACTTGTCCCGCTTGGCTAAGGTCTGGAGCGACTGGCGCCTCGTCTTCGTCGCCCTGGCCCACCCGTTCCGCCTGATCTGTGACGCCCTGAGCGACCTCCTCCAGCGGTATGTGTCGGACCGGTACGGCTGGACGCTCGCGGACGCCACGCTCGTCTACTCCCTGCAGGCTGTGGCGGCGGGCCTGGTGCTGTTCACGGCGCTGCCGCGCCTCTCGGCGAGGATCGACGCGCGGTATGCGCTCAGCGCCGTGCAGAAGAACGTGGTCCTGTCGCGGGCATCGCTGCTGGTGCTGGCCGTGGCGTTTGCCGTCATCGGTCTCGCGCCGCACCCGATCATCATGGTCGCGGGCCTCCTGCTCCAGACACTGTCGACGGGCTTCCCCGCGACGCTGCGCGCCCTGGCCGCCGCGCTCATCGACGCCCACGACCAGGGCCGCGTCTTCTCCGTGCTCGCCATCGCAGAGACCCTCAGCGTCATGCTCGCCTACCCGGTCACGGCCGCCCTGTTCAACGCCGGTCTCGAGCGCGGTGCTGGCCCTTGGCTCGGCCTGCCCTACGACGTCGTCGCAGTGACCGCTGCCCTGGCTTGCGCCGTCATGTGTCTCCTCCGCTTCGAGCACCCGCGCCACCCGCGTACTCGCGCGCGGGCTGTGTGAGTGCTAGAATGTACAAATAAATGACCATAGACAAACATGCCGATAGACAGGGAGGCAGGAGACGGGAAGAGGCTATCATAGACATTATTGGTTGACCCTTTATACCCCAAGGACAACCATATATAAAGCGTCATGGAGAAGCAAGAGCTAAAGCTCCATGCAACGCCCGAGAAAGATAGGCTAGTAGTGCGTCCGTGGTTTAGCGAGTTCGAGACTCGTTCAAGAATTCGCGTGTATTCATCAAGCAAAGCAGAGTCGTGGACGGCCCTGCCTCTGGGGAAAAAAGGGATATAAACCCATCAACGTCTTCATAGTTTGGCCCTGGTCTGCTGTTCGCGCCACTTCCGCAAGGCCTCTTCCTCCCTCTTCCTTGCGTGGTTCTGCATGGTCTTCATGGCGTCCGTCACCTCTTCGTCGCTGATTTTGCTCAGCTGATCCGGGCCTAGCTCCTGAATGTTTGACGGTTTCGAAAACGCCTTGACCCAGACGAATCTGCTCGTCTTTGGCCCACTGCCGTCGACGACGGCGGTGCAAAAGTTTGCCGCGCGCTCGAAACAATCCCTGGCTTTCGGGGTCTTGGGGAACAACATGGCAAAGCAGTGAGGCATCCCCTCGTAGCCCACGAAATCCACCACTCCACCGGCCTGGTGCATTCTGCGTGCTAGAATAGTGATCTCGTCCTCTAGGCCTTCGTTTCCCAAGCACAACCATGCTGGTGGCATACCTTTCCAGAGGTCTGAACCAGCAGCGAGAGGTGACACGAGAGGATGGACCATGATCGACGCGTCGCATAGGATGTTTGCTCGAGGAGGGCTCGCCGGCCACAAATCGTCCGGAAGAGGGTCAGCCTTTGACACTCCTTCCGCATTCGGTGGATCCAGATAGTCCAGATGAGCATTTTTGTTTATGGAAGGCATTGAATGAGATATATCGGCCCACGCACTGTTGAGGCAAAGGCCCGCGGGCAGTTCAACGGGGACATCGACTCCATGAAATCTGATGCTGCTCACGCCCGTCCTCTGCAGTGTCAGGAGGAGCTGCAACAAGACCACAGCGAGGTTGCCTCCAGCAGAGTCTCCAGCAAACACGATATGTTTTGCAGGTACAGGGTCATGCGGCAGACCTTTGGGAGGTGCCAGAAGCGATAAATACGCCACCAATCCGTCGAGCAATTGGGCAGGGAAAGGGTTTTGAGGGGCTAGACGGTATCTCACAGAATAGCCGCGACCTCCTGTCAACCGTGCAAGGCGTGACACAGGCTCTCTATGCGATGCCGGATCCATCAGAAAATAGGCTCCGCCATGGAAATATAAAATCGTGGTGTGGGTCGAAACGGTGGCCATCAGAATTCTATAATGGTCGTCTTCAGATACATCTGGTCTAGGTTCATGGGCAGATGCGCCTTTCTTGTAGCCAGTCCATTCGGCTTCCACGCCCACAATGTCGGGCAAAGTGTATGTTTCGCTGCCATTTCCAAGCTCTTTGATGGCTTTCACAACAGCTTCTCTAGGGCCGAACTCGTCAAGCGGGGGTGGGATGGTCACTTTGGCGATGCATATGGGTCCTTTGATTCCAGGATCCTTCGTGGAGATGTGTTGTAGATATCTCATAGGCTTCCTGACCCTCGTGATGGACCGCAGTATTACCACAACCACCTCTGTTGTCAGATCTTGCTTTGCTGAATTAGGCGACAAATTGAGTGCATTGAGGACGATCGTCTTGAGCAGCAAAGGCAGACGGGGCAGGAGGAGCCTGACAAGGGCTCGCGTCGAAATGTCCATCGCAGCGTGGTACAAGGATCATCCAATGAGCTCTACCGCAATGCTATGACTCGAAGGGGCGGAAAAGCACACTCTAGACCGACGAAACTCGAGAGAAAACGAACGTTAGTGGCAAGGAGTGGACTGCGACAGATGCGAGAACAGGCACCGCTGGGCTGGTGCTGCCATGACCTGAAGCGCAGTTTTTTAGTGACAAGCGAAAGGCATCAAGCGGCCACTTTTTAGCTGGCGCAGGCACTGAACCATTAGCGACGTCATAGACTGCAAGGCAACAGCTTCCTCTGCACTCGGACCTTCTCTTTTCTTCATCCTGTCTACATTTATATTGTCTTCACCTTCTTCACCTTCATCTTCTCAGCAGAACACTCCTCCTTCACCATCGCACATGGAATCAGCGCAGAAAGAACAAAAGTTTCGACCCACCGTTCTCTGGGTGATCGCTGACTGTGCAACGTCAACTAACTACATCCAGGTCCCTGACCTCGGCTAGTCCTGTGCCTCTGTCTCGTCCTTTCCCTCCCACATTCCATCGTGGTCAAACATGAGCGGTTTACCAAGAAACCCATCGGTCTTGACGTCTTGACGGTGGTATCCCAAGAAAGATTCCCGGGAAGAAACGGCGAGATATTGTACCGAAATCTCTCAATTACTCACTTGGTTGTTACCTCGTGACTCTGCTGATGACCCCTCCCTACACAAAAAGACTCGCGATGTCGTGCGCCGATCATCTTGTCGGAAGACTCATCCACCAGCTGCCTCCCTGGAAATACTCGTGCCACGGGTGGATCCTTCTCCTATGCCTTCCGCTTCTGCCTGGCTTCGTCCCAGATGATAAATGATTGTCGATGGCATTAACCTCTTTCTGGTAGGGCTGTCAATACGACAGAACAAACAAGACGTTCGCTATTTTTGGCTCCCGATACCCCGGGTTCACCTCCTATCGCCAAAATGGATAACGCTTTCACCCTGGTCCTACCCCAATACCAGGGCCAGCGACACCCAAGCGCAATCCCCCTACTTTTCCTTTTTCCCTCATACAATTATTATTGCGGGTACTCTACCCTCCACTACCCTCTGGCACAGTCACAGCCCCCAATCGACATGTGTTACAGTCGGGAAGGGCGTACTCTAGAACGCTGCGAACTTCTGGGAATTTTCCCATTGGATTGACCAAACGCTTTTGCGTCACATTCTCGTGTTTCTAGGGCTTGGACTTATCTGGCTCCAGGCTGAAACGTTTCGTTGCATGCTGATCCCCTGTCGAGTACCAGGGCCATGGAATCAACTATTCGACGATTTGTTCATGTTGACTGCAGTCACTTCACACCAAAACAAAGCATGCCCCTAGTTAGTACTTTGAGAAGGCCCGTGTCTGCCTCGTTGCTTGGCCGACTATACCCGAAGCTGTCTCGGGGCTCCATTCTTACACTCGTTACCGACTTCTCAATATGACCCAATTTTTAACATCGCTCCCTATGCCCAAAAACACTCCAGCAACCCCCAAAATGTCCTGAAACTACCTGCTAACCATATACACGATCATGACTTTGGATAGCAGTATCTCGACCGATGCTTCCACAGATATCACGTCGATAGCCTCATGGGATCTCTCTCCAGAAGCAACCACTCCGGCAAGTAATGGTTCGCGACGCAACACCCACCAAAAGACTCGTACACTGGCTCCCAATCTGACGCGACGATCGCACAAGAAGTCCCGCGGAGGCTGCTTTAGTTGTAAGCAAAGGAAGATCAAATGTTCTGAAACAAAACCCGCGTGCGGGAGTTGTTTGATGAAAGGACTCAGTTGCGTCTATCCAACAGAGCCGGCAGTACGCAAGTCTAGCAATTTGCCGCTGATAAGGCGGAATCCCACAACTTCCCCATCTTTTCCAGCTGCCACCTTTTCGATCCTGGACATGCGATTCTTCCATCACTTTCTCACCATCGCGTATCCACACCTGCCAGTTGACAACGACCATGTCTGGGTCAACGACATTCCCCAATTTGCTGAACAGCATGAATACCTGATGCATGCGTTGCTTTCGCTTGGGGCCTCCCACCTCAGTCGCCTCACGGGCGTTGACTATCGACGAGAATCTCTAATTCATCGCGGTCAGGCTATTGCTGGCCTCAATCACGCACTGAGCCAGACGGCGCGTTCTTACGGAGAAGCAGACGCTATGCTCGCCTCTTGTTACGCCCTTACCTTTCAAGCTTCTTACATGAGTGATGGTCTTTCCGATTTCATCACCATGGTCCGAGGATGCGCCCTTACAACCGAGAAAATCAAGCAAGAGCACTCGCCTACAGCATTTAACCTGCAACCAGACTGGCACTTCAAATACATGGCGCCACGACTGCAGAACTTGCCAGCCGTTGACCCCCTCTTGCTACAAGATGCCTACACAGCCCTTGAGGGAGTTCGACCCTTTTTGACTGGTGGCACTGAGATAGATTTTCACGAGGCGCTCGTCGATGTAATCACCTCGCTCCAAGCATCGCCGGCATCAGGTTACATGCAGTTCATCGGCGTGTACGGTGTATGGTATGAATTATGCCACGACTCTTTCAAGACCTTCCTGGACCCAAACAATCTTGTCGCTCAACTTCTTCTTGCCTATTTCGTGGGCGTCCAGTTGTTGATGGTTCCTCTCGCCACACAAGAATGGCCACATCGCGCGGATGTAAGTCGCGTACGCGTGCTGCAGGGCACCGTCGAGTGGGCTCAAGGGATTTTCCAGAAACTTGGAGACTCTGAGTGGGAAGCGCACCTTGATTGGCCAAGGAATGTCATTGCCACTGTTGTTGCAGAGATCAATGGTGAAGTGCTCCAATTGCCGCCTGTCCTGCAGCTTCATCTGGCCACGCGAGATATCACCCCACAGTCGACGATTCTGACACCCACCTGACGTGGTTCGGCAGGAATAGGATGATAGCAGTCATTATGGAGATGAGCAGGTCTGAAAAGCGGGAGAAAGTCAGAATGACAATGCCGCTATAACAAACGTACAGGTCAGTATTCCTTCGGACAGATGATTGTCCAGGCACGAAGCAGTTTACTTACCGTTTGTTTCCGGACCATCCAGGAGGAAGCCTTCTTAGGAAGGATGGGAAATACCCTCTCCAAAGTAATCTCTCCTACTCAAGTATTGTATGCTGCAAGAGGAGGATTTGGTCCAAGTGCGAAATCCAGCACCGTCACATCGGAGTCGATTCAGACCCGAACATTCCACGTATAAGTGATTGAAGGTATTCTTTCCGAGGCGAGAAATTGATATCCTCTTCTCCCAGACTAGCTTTATCCATAAATGTGTAACTTCCCCGTGTGTCAAGCGTCTCGAACCCGAGACTGTGGTCAAGTGTCAAGTCGTTCCAATGTTTTGTGTGTGTCCGTACTCTTGAATTCCTAGGTCCACACCTCTTTGTAGAATCGATGCCATTCCGTCTATGTGTTTGATTATTGCTCAATGTTCCCAATTCCCGATTTGTGGATAATACCGATCTTTTTCCCAGTTTCCAGCTCGAGCAAATCGACAAGCAGGCACAAGATCGATTGCGACTGAGAGTCCGTCGTATTATCCCCCACTGCCGTGCCCGATGATCCTGTCTATCTCTTGCACACTCCCCATTCTCTTTGCGGAGCATCCGACCTGCCCCGGACTTTCCTCTCACTACACTGCGCTGTTTGTGTTTGCGAATCCGGGCTTCGTCTTGTCCAACCCGATGCGGTGAGTTCCTTTCGATCGTCTCGCGTGGCCCCTCCTCCCATGTGTGTTTTCATGCAGGGCATATTCCGTCGTCGTCGTTGTCGTCTGCGGCTTCTGCTGCGGCATGTACTTGACAGGATGGTAGAGCGCCAGGGCCGTCAGGGCGATGAACATGGGCAGCGCCTCGAGGACGTACAGGCACCACTCGTGGGTGAAGGGGTATCCGTCGATGCCCATGCCGAACTCGACGACTCGATAGATGGAGCGGATCTGTGGGATTGGGGTGGTTAGCAGCCTAGAACAGAGACGAAAGAGGATCGGGGTGACAGCGACAGGTGAGTGAGGGATGAATTTGGCAAAGGGGGAAAGAAGGGAGTAAGAAGAACCAAGAAGAAGAGAAGATAATGAGAATGAAATTGGGGAATACTTCTGCTCACCTGGATCCAGAATCCCGCGATCCACACCGCCCACACGACCTTTCTCACACGCGGATCCCATGCTGCTGCTGCTGCTCCTCCGCTGTCCTTGGCTCCTCTGAGACTCACTCGCCGGACAAACCTGCCCAGGACGACGAGGAAGACGGTGAACGTGGCGAGCTGCAGGCTCAGGCCGACGAGCAGCACGTTGGTGCCCACGGTCTTGAGGTCGCCTTCCCAGTTGCCGGAGCTGGCGATGCCGGAGCCGGAGCACTGCGTGAGGAAGCTGACGATGTCCGAGGTGGTGAAGAGGCGGCCGAGCCAGCCGGGCCGGATGCGGAAGAAGACCTGCTGGTGCTGGCCGTCTTCGGCGGGCAGGCTCGTCCGGATCAGGCGCGTGAGCAGCAGGTACAGCGTGGCGCAGACGAAGATGGGCGAGATGACAATGTACGACGCGCTCACGGCGTACAGCGGGATTGAGTCGAGGTCGTGGATCGACGCGTTCCGGATCGACCACCCCGCCGTCGAGATGACGCACGCCACGAACAGCGGGATCGTGTACTTGTGCTTGTACGTGGCGTGGCGCGTCGCCACGAAGTTGATGTACCCGTGCCACAGGGTCAGGAGGAAGTACAGCACCGAGAAGATGACGGCCGCCGCGGTCGAGGGGGAGTAGAAGTACAGGTTCAGGTCGGACGAGTCGTTGTCGTTCTTGGTGTCCGACATTCTTTTGTAGGTGCTGCTTTTCGAAGAGGGATGAAAACGAGATGTGTCTTGGTGGGTTTTGTTGTTAGTGGACAAGACGAAGATATCTGGAGGTACTGTAAGACTCTATTGCTGTTGTCGCTGGGGTTAGAACAAAGGTCTATACACGAATGTGTGTTGAGAGAAACAATGGCTCCAAGTCGAACCGGACTGATGAACAAGAAGAAGTAGCTCGAGCGCTCGACGAGGAGGGAACGAGACATCTCGATATATATACGCCATTTTTTTTCCGTCTCATCTCATCCCCTCTTCTCTCTCTCACACAGAGCTCACAAGAAAACAGACTGACGAAGGGACAAGAAAACGAGACGAGTGGAGCAACCCGCGCAACACTTCATACCACCTGGGGTATATAGAAGATGTTTGTTTGCGTCGCTTTCTGCGCTGAAAAGGGCGCGAAGATGGGGCGCACGCTGGACGTATTCGTATCACCGTCAAATCAGCACCGGCGGGACAGGGTTTATCGGGGCTAGGGTTCCACGTCGCAGAGGACACTTTGATTGGTGGGGGTGAGACGACGACTTCGGTTTGGTCGCTGTGTTTCGAGACAGGAGGGCAATCTGAATACGTTGGACTGGCTGAGACGTGGCCTTCGCTTGGCGCGACGGGTCCTCGTCCTCCTCGTTGTGGAAATATTCGTGTTTTATCCTTGCGAATGTATCAAATGAGGCAAGATTCGAATTCGGGACGTCGGATTCTCGAGGACATGGGGGTTGCGCAAGATGTGACATGAGACTGGCTTGCGGGGTTCCCCACGATGTCGAGAGAGAGTTTTTCGGCGAAGGGAAAAGGTTGCTGCCTTGTTGGGCATATCCCTGAGCGGCAAACCGGGGGCGGCAGAGAAGACCAGGCAGAAGCATATCTTTCATCGTTTTCCGTCTAAGATGGGATGGTTCGTATCTGGGACGAATCAGTTGTCCTCCCAAGGCGGGCAAAGAGACACGGAGGGAGATCACCACACACGTCTGCAACAGGATCGACCAAGAAAAAGGCGGCACTGCCTGAGCAAAAAGCTTCGCCCACTACTGTACCTGTTCTTCGCCCTCGTGGCGAAGAATGGGTCCCGAGAGTTCGGGCCGCCGTACTCGGGTTCAAGGCCCACAGAAAACGGCAAGCAATGTGCCTGGTCTGATCGTGGCCCTTGCAGCATGAGGTTGACGCGCCACAGATTTCCCGATACAGCAACTCTCGTATTCTGACAATCTCCATGGCTGGTGGATCGACGGCGGTGGCTTTTCCTGGCCCAGAGACGGCTACAGCTCAGCCGCAGCGGCACAGCCAGGGGTGGGATGACATTGACGGCAGCTGAGAGAAGGGGAAGAAATCAAAAGGACGATCAAGAGGGGAGAGAGAGAGAGGGAGAGGATCCAGGCACCAGGATATTCCCCCAGTCGTTCGTTAGGTAGGTGAAGCAAAGCGCGTCCGAAATAACCAATCAATATACAGGACGGGTCGCAAGGCTGTTCGTATTCGGATATCACGAGGCTTGGCCCCACTAGCCGGAAACTAGAGCGAGGCTGAAGCGCCTGGAGGGTTTACTCTCCACAGCCAGGCCCAAAGCAAAGTGTCATACGCATGTACTCAGTACTTCGAAATGAGCTCATGTAAGACGGATTGAGAAGAGGAATTGGTTTCCCCTAAACAAGGAAATCGGGGAAGGAAATCCATCGGAACAACAAAGCCCCATACCACTCAAGAGAGGACTGACGGCCTGTTTACCGGGAGCAACTATCTAGCTTGTGCGAAAGTGCAGTCAGTTGGATCATTGCTCGGGCAGCACGGAGTATATATCACTCTATACTGGATTGCGATTGCAAAGTCTTGTTCGAATCTAAATGAGCTAATATTGCACAATGAAGTATCCTTAAGCTCCCGCTATGCACAGGCAGTAGATTGAACGAAGCAGCAGATCGCTTAGATACGATTCTTCATTTTCAAAACATTCCATTCGTGTTAACCTTTATTATACATTGGGTTTGCGTGTAAAGCTACTATATGCTGCAAGATCCATTATTGCCGCCCTGTTGAGGCAATCTAACCGTAAACCAACGCGCGAACCTCAATGCTCTCCCGACCCTTAGCTCCCACGGGAGTCCTGGGATCCACAAAAGCCGTGTGGGGGACTCTCTGCCCGACACCTTCTTTATTGTCGTAGCACTTCAAGAACAGCCGCTCGTCGTTGTCCATGCCTGACCAGTAGTAGAATTTCTGGTTCGGGTTGTACCTCACCGCGGCCGTCTCGCCCGTCCGATGAGGGTATCTATGCTCGACAGGTATGAGATCGTCGTCGTCGACAGAATCAGCAGAGGCAAAGCCAAGCGGGTGCGCCTGAACGACGCCGTTGATGGGTCGCCACACGTTGATGATGCGGTATCGACCCTTCAGAAGCTCATCCGCTTCGTCAGGATTGTGCAACTTCACCCGCCACTCAGTCGATCGCGCCGTCTGATCGACGTGTACTCTGGTGACGGGGGCACGGGGCGCCTCGGGGTTCGATCGCCGGATGGTGTGGTCAAAAATGGTGACCTTGTGTGCGCCGGGAACATTGTCCAGCAGCAATTTTTCAACCTCGGGATAATAGACCTGTTTGATGTGTTCATCGTCCAGAAATTCCGTCTCTTCTGAGGGGACACCCTTGATCGCTTGAAATGCGTCCTTGTCAAGATTGAATTCGTTTTCTCGGCCGCGGATATCATTCATCTGCACCTCAACCACCGTTTCGCCAAAGTTGCGCTGAGGCTTGCCGTCGGGTTGTTTCTCGACATAGTTATGTGGCTTTGACCCGTCCTCGGGCTCTCGGAAAAAGTTCAGTGTCGTGTTTACGGGACCCCGCGGGACATATGAAGAATCTTGGGCTCCCGAGAGGGTAGTAGACACGGAGGTCTGAGTTGTAGTTGCAGACATGTTCTTCAGGCTTTTCAGGACAAGTTCGAGGTGGAAGGTGTGTTGGATGCAGTCAATGCAAAGGTGACTTGAGCACAGATGGTATTTCCTGCAGATTCAACTGTCACTAGCTGCCATGGGCTGACAGGGTATATATGGACGGCCAGCCGAGCACGCAATGTCGTATATTAGAAATCCGTTGGAGTCACGTCATGGCTGAGCCGAGGGTTCGCCGCTTACCCCATGGACATCTGCCAGACTCCCATCCCCGCATTGATCTTCCAAACCAATTATAGCCTGCCAACCTGCTAAGATCAAAAAGTAATCTAAGTGGCGAGAATGGAGCGAGGAACTTGAATTCTAATCAATGTGGCCCGTCGTGCATGTACGCATCGGTATTACCAACAGTAGGACAAAATCAGCAGTCCAGCCGCCGTGATTGAGCTCTTTTCAACCCTGCAGCTCGGTAGATTCTCTAGATTCTACAGCTCGCCTTCTTCGCTGCCGTAATCGACCTTTTCGGCGTCGTCTAGATCATTGACACCGTTCGAGGATGGTTCTGGTTGTGGTGGCTGTGGAGGCCCCTCATCTGTAGGGTAAATCTGAGGCACCCGAGAAGGAGCCCTTGCGTGCTCACTACTCTCGGGTTGAGTATACATGCCATTGTCTCGACTTTCTGGTTGGTGTTGTGCTGGAGCTTGTTCTGCATGGCCATTACTGTAGGCTGAAGGTGGCCCGTTCCGATTTGTACCCGCCGAGGAATATCTCCTGGAATGAACTTGGTGCGAAGGCTGCCCCGGTGGGACACGGTGCTGGTGAGACGGTGGTGCTCTACTGGACGAAGCGTTTACAATCTCGTCAATTCTCCTCTGCACGTCGTCGCCAGTGCCTCTGGAATCATTGGGCAGATCATCCGCCGCGGTTGCAGAATGACGGTGTGGTATCCTTTGAGGTATGCCTACATTGTCATTTCGCGAATCTCGACGGACTCTCTTGGGAGAAGGTGCTGGTTGATCGTCACCGCCAGGTCGCTGTGATGGCATACTCGATCCCCATTCACCAGAATTTTGGTCTTCGGCGGCATCTCTGTCACGTTTGGCACCTTGACTTCCGCTTTTTGCGCTGCCAACGGGGGACAGTTCAGGCTGAGGTGTGGCAGGTTGTCGGGTTCGATCAAACAAGCTGAGATCGTCGTCTTTTGTGTATGCATCTTTTTGACCTTGGCGCGGCAGTGTAGGGTTCTCGTAGGCCTCTGCCATCAGATTACAGCCCTTTTGAATGTCGTGGAGATTGAGGCCTAGTTGCTCCCACCACGGCCTACCTCTCTCATCGTCAGGGAGACTGATACCTGCGAACTTGACTCCCATGTATAAGGCACTACCTGCAATTGCCGAAGGCGTCAATTGGAGGCACATGGTGGTGACAAGGGAGTCATTCAAGAAGGCCCACGATGTGTTTCGTAGTTGTTTGTTTGCCTGAATGTCGTAATACCTGAGGAAGCCAAGCAGGATGCGGTAGGGCTGCTCAAGCTGCAGGTCAAAGCACAAGGCCTCAAGTAACAGGTCCTCATTGTGAAGAATGGTATCTCGCCACTTCCAATACTCTTTGCTTTGTTCGTCCACCACTAGATTCGGCTGCTTTTGCGCAACCCGACAACATGCGACCACCAGTTCCTTCATCTTGCGATAGTTTTCTTCTACCTTCGTGGCCAAGAATATAGCAGTCGCGGCGACTGAGTAGTGATGGAAACCGGGCCTGTTGTTCTGAACCATGGCATGGCGCATGAAGAAACGATGCAGGTAGACCGAGGCCGTCGCGAGTGTCAATTGGGGTAATTTCAACATGATCCCGACTTGTGTGATGAAATTGACGCCTTTCTGTCTGTTTGCCAACTCTTGAGTTACAGACATACCATCCAGTATACTTGGGGTGAGAAGGAGGTCTTCGGCAGTGAACATCCATTGCGACTGGCTCCTCTCTAGGACGGGGTTTCGGGAAAAGGGAGGAGAGTCGTCATGGCGCATTGTGTCTTGGAAGGAGGGCATCGTGGGTATTTCGAGGACAGTCGATGAGGTAAGATCGGAGCGCAAGCCTGGTCGGCTCCGCCGAAGTCCAGGCAACGGAACAGCGTCCTGGCTAACGTGGATGGTTCGGATGTGGCTGCAACATCGAGCATGCGGCCAGGGCACAGCGAGCTGCTGGATGGTGTTGAGTTGGAGATTGGCAATATGGTATCAAGGTTTTGCGCAGACAGGGGTACGTCCGTACTTGAAACGCCGCTGCTACTCGGGACTGGCCGATTGAAAAAAGAGAGAGGATAATGGCCAGCGAGGTGATGAGGTTTGATTTCTTGAGTTTGCTGCCCGTTGGTGTTTACTGCGGGCCATGACAAGGGCCCCTTTGACACGTGAGGGGGAGCCGATAAGGCTGGCACGGTACAAGATGCAGTGCAGGCGATGGTGGCAATGAATGGGGTGCCTAGCTAACCGACTTCCGCCTAGCATCACCTGTCTGTAGAAGCGAGGGCAGGTAGACCGAGCCGACTATGGCCGAATCTGACGTCATGACTATCCTCTGCGCTGGTGCCACCGTCCCACCCTTTCGTACGCTTGCCTCGACCCACCTCCAATATCTCTCAACGTCCATGGTCTGTACCTGAGCCTGGAAGGACACTATACAAACTCCTTTTTGGGAGTAATGTCGCCGACGTCTAGCCCAGCTCCTCCAGACACAGGGCACTAACTACGTCCCGAAAAAACTCCTACAAGGCTCAAGTATCCTATCATACAAGCCGTCTCTCGACTCTCAATTTCCAAAAACAAGTGAGTTTTCCAATAGTATATCTCAAGTAACCGTTCTGCAGGAAATTTTCCCTTCATCGAGCAAGGGGCGTTCCGAAATTGGACAGAATCGATGCTCTGCCTCTGACCCAACCTCTACATTGTCCTCTCCATGATCATCTAAACCTGAAATTTGACATCCTCGGCCCCGAGGTCTCGTCTAAAGAATACTGCTGGAGTTCGGCGAATTTCGATCCCGGACTGAAGGGTAGACGCATTGCCTCTCGGAAGCTTGGAATACTCCGCACACGAGGATGATAGCGACCACGTCTAGGAGGGTCATAGAAAAGTATACTCGAATATGCTAAGGTCTAGCACAATATGGCCGAGGCCAAGCGACATGAGTTGCAATCGACTGTGAATGGGCCGGTCGACTCGATCTACAGACCCTCCATTTGCGAGAATCTGTGCTGCTAACGCCTTCCTGAAGTGGAGTGGGATATTACCGAACCTCAGCACGCATAATTCCCGACAAGTAGCCAGGAGTGTCGCATGAAGAGAAGATGCGGCTCGGTCACTTAGTCATAGGGATGTCACCAGTGTAGGAGGTAAGAGGATGAGGATTTTGCGGAGGTAATATTGGGTACACCCTCGTACCATCTCGTATACTCGGTTCAGTCCATGACTATTGGTGGACAGCACCGGACAGCACCAGACAGTAGTGGGCGGCTTCAGTAAGCAGTCTGCACAAACTTCTTTTGGGTAAGCAGCACAAGGGCGTGGCTAACATCGGGTTCAAGCCGCCCCAGCTAGTTACGCAGATGCGCCGGCACTGCACCCCAGTAGGTCGGTCCATAACAGTGGAAGCAGCGCTTTCTGGGTGCATCGATCGCATGTAGTTCGGTAATTTGGATAGCCGTCAAATGCTTGTTTATGCTTTAGCTAGTGATCAACAGCAGCATTTAGTGATCGAGCCGGGATGGGATAGTGCACATACAGACCGACTCTCACTGTCACAAAGGGAACAAGTCTTTCTACCAGCTTCTCATGGGTTGCGTCCTGTAAAACACTCTTGGTAGTACGAAAATTATCGGTTTTCCTTGCCTTTCCTCCGACTCGCACGACGGAGCATCGCTCTAACTGTTGTCCGAGAGCGGAGCATGCGATACCCAGATATGCAGGGGCATCGTCCGTATGTCTGCCGTACGGACGACAGGTACAAAGATCGACCCGACCGAAGGGCTAGTGAACTTTTAGTGAAGCCACCAGCCCTGCCAAGGGTTTCGCAGGCATCCCCCAAGGCACCTACATACAGGCACCTAGGGAGCTACAGGGACCTTTGACTAAGCCTGGCGGCCCCCGTTATGTTAAGCGAGTCAATTAGTTAATGACTCGTTAGAAGAGTTTAGTCCGCTTGCAGCAATAATCTCGACGCAGCTGACATTTCTCACTCTTCTAGCTGTTCCATGCTTTCTTCACCCTTGTTTTCTAGTTGATTCCCAGGCTCAAAGGGCCTAGACTATGCCTTGCTGGGTTGAATCAGATTCTAGCGCTTCCATCAATCCCCTGGAGCCATTACGCCATAGACAAACACATCCATCACCGATTTTCTCTCCTCCATCCGTACACTGACAACTCACTCGCACTCCATACCACTCGTACCATCACGAACTCAACCGCCTGCTTTCCGTATCCTGCGCTATCTTCGATTGCTCCTCTCTGTGCCTTGATACCATTACCTCATCGCACCTCGCACTGTTCTGGAGATGCTAGCTCTTCTACTGGTGCCTCAGCCGATCGGGATGGATGTTCGCAATGCGCCATATCCTCTACTTCCGGTCATTGCCCTTGACGCCCTAACATCTCGCTTGCAACCGCTCTGCCATGCTATACGGCCCCGAGCTATGTCTGCTCAGGTGAATACCGGGGCCAGGTGAGCCCACTTGCGACTGGTTCGGTCGGCACGAGGCAAGGCCGTGGATGAGATTTAGGTTCTAATTCCTCCAGAGAGAACCATTATGCAAGTTCAAATACTCTCTGCAGGTGGCAATTCGCCATCTCAAGCGCCTCCTACCCGAAGAACCATTGTGCCTTGTGGGTTTCTCGCGACCAGAGCTCTCTTTTACCCGCCCTTTATCCCCTGTGAAACTAATGTGATATACAAACACCTTGCCCTCCCCCGAAGGCAAACCCAGACCTGCCCTCGCCGTGCATTAATCCTGCATATTGAAGACCCCGTGTACGAAGGGAAGACAGCAGCAGAACACAGTCGGCCCTCACTCGGCTGCCTTTTGGCATATCCTCATCCCTAAGGCAAGTACCTGCATCAAACCCTGGCACACTTATAAGGAACCAAGAATCTTGAGTCAAAGGACACAACGGCAGCATCAAGTCTCCAATACACTAAAACAGCTTCCTCCACGCGAGTCCCTTGCCGAAGCGCCGCGGCGTCCTCCATTCCTCTGGGGGTCCCCCATACCAATAACGTCTACTGCCGATGTATCAGCAGCGACCTAAACTCAATCAGGAGAAAGCCACGAATACCCTGCCCCAAAACCAGCTCCTGCAGTTTCTGGGACACAAACATATGCATTGTTCCCTGAACTGACGCCATAGCCCTGTGGCGGCGCTCTACTCTGATTGCGCGCTCGCTTTGTGTCGAATCTTTGCGTACGGGGATCGGCCCCGTCAGCAAGGTCTGTGAGATCAGCCTCGCCTTTTACCTAATCTGAAGGCAACCTCACTGTCAACAGTACAAATCTGCTGCCCTACTCGGAAATTAAGTTGTCCAGCGACGTGTCATGCCACCAAAAGCAAAACGATCGAAATCTCCCGACTCTCAGTTTCTGTTCGTCAACGAGGATGCCTCGACCGTGACCCGGACCACCAAAGACGCTGAATTGGATAGAACAAAGCAAAGCCATGTACAGCGTCAAAATTTCGCTCGCAAACGCCGCCTGCGAGAACAATCAGAAGCTGCCCCGCAAACAGCCAGCAGCCAGAGTTCAGTGTCCTCCAGTCCTGCGGTGGCTGGTCCGTCGTCGTCTACAACCCAGGATGCGCCTTCTCAAGGGGCAAGCTACTTCGACATTATACAGAACATCGACCTTGAAGACCCTTTGTTCCAATCGACGAGCCCTCAAGCCATAGCACATACATCCCTTGACCCTCAACTCTCCGCACTGTTCTCAGACCCTTTCACTTCCACGCCTGCATCGCCTCCTATTCCTTCACAACATACCAGTGTTTTTGGCTCCTCTCACCCTTATCGTCCTGGTCAATACTTTGATACTTCCTCCTCGAGCTACAATCTCCCGCCACCGACCAGAAGCGTTGCCAGTGTTGTCAGTCCATCGATCCCGCTAGGAGGAGTTGCTAGCCCACCCACAAACGCTCATCGCGCCTTGGAACAATGGGCGCCGCCTTTAATCAAGCATTACAACACGATTATACTCCCAGAAAAGTTCTGGAAAGACACCCAAAAGGTATCTATGGGTCAATTCCGCCATGCGCCCTCGATCCATGCAGACATGCAGGCTTGCATGACAGAACCCGCACATATGTATGCATTTCTTGCCTCTGCTGCAGCTCAGATGGTTGCTCGGGAAGGTAGACTGCTGTTACCGAACGTCTCTGAAGAAGATAATCAACGCGTTCCCGTGTTTTTCAAGACCAGAGCGGTACACGCCCTCCAGACCAAACTTGCCAATGGACAATTGGATCATCACACGGCGGTGGACCTCCATCGGCTCTACGCTGCAGGGATACACTCGGACAACTACGAGGCAGCCGAACCACATTTCCAAGCGCTACTCTCCATGGTTGATGCTCTTGGAGGCCTGAGCACCTTTGATGATTATCAGCTGGAGAGGATATTCATGCTGGACTGCATTGCAGCGCTGAAGCGGCTCGGTGTTCCACGTCTTGTTGTCACTCTGGATCCTGGCCCTTTACCGGAGGAGTTGTTGCTACGGATCGAATCTCAAAGTCAGCTGCCCTTTCAACCAGGGTCACTGCTCGAGATCCTGGTGGACACCTTCAGTGAATGTCAAATCTTGGCCGACAGTTTTGCAGACCTGATTCAAGTCTTGAAAATGTCGGCCTTTTTGGCTGCTTCACCTCACTATGTCCACGAGTACTACAAGTGGTTCAATTGGCGGACTCTGATTATTGTGCACAGACTTCTATCGATGCCCCTCCATTGCGACCTGGACGACAAGGCTGACAGCGTGAGGATTGCCACAGCCTACTGCGCCGTTCTTCTGCGCTCCCCAACCATGGGCCGGCGAGCGGCATGTACTTCGGTCAACTCCCTGCGTGCTAAACTAGAAAGCACCGATCTTGGGCTGCTGTGGCAGCCCCGCACTGATTGTCTCCTCTGGGTAGCTGTGTTTGGAGGCGTCTGTTGCACCGGTGGAGAAGACCTGGAGTGGTTCGTCCACCTCGCAAGGACTGCGGCGACCGAAATAGGAGTTGGCAACGTGAGGGACTTGGAAGATTTGTTGGTGGCATACCTCTATGATCCCTATTCCCAGCGGGAATTGGTGCTCCGATTCGCCGGTCGGATTTGGCCCAGACGAGATCCATAAACTGCGTTGATAGCGCATGACCTCGAAATATCAGCAATCATCCTCTTACCCGCCAGTGATGCCCGTGATCAAGACAAAGACGGCAGCCTCCTAACGCCGAACCCTCGTCAAGACTCGCCGAGACAGTACTCAAGTATAGAATCAAAGTGGAGTTATCCCGCTTGTTGTTTAGGGGCTGTCTTTTCCCTCTTTATCCACGACTTCGTTCTTGGACCGGACAGAGTCCGAAGGGCAGAACCTCTGTATTAAGATCCAGGCTAGCCTTGCGCCCAAGTCTCATTGGCCGGCGGCGCCTAAGGTTCAATGCAGGCGAGGCTTGATGAGATTACGTTTCTCTTCGGGAGACGCCGCGACTTTCAATGAGCTCGCTTACATGACTTATGAATTTTTGTGGACTAGCACAGAATCTGGAGGGCACAGGTCAGCATCTCTGGGGAAAGAGCAGGGGATTGGTCTCGCCAATCAGTGTCCGGGTTGATTAGCCTGAAGATCATCCCTTGACGGCGCACAGAGCTCGAGACATGATACCGACCAAGAACAGTGCGCAGTGGTGACTTGCCCCCCTGGAACGCGACAACGGGCTGACACTATGCAGCAAGTTGCTCTGGAGGACACCAATGGCGAAGAATTGGGCATTGACAGGACGTTGCAGCTGACAACCGAGATCAATGGTCTAGGCTTCATTTTGTTTTGTGTTTTTTGCGCCTTACAATGCCGGTGCTGAGGGGCTGAAGGCCGGGGAAACTTGTAAAGCTCAAGGTGATGTGAGCCTGATGAATTACGCGTCAACGAAAAGGATACCTGGGTACCTACTAGGTAGTATTCGCAGGACTGTATTAGCATAACGAGGGCCCATACAAGGCTCGGTACAAGGTACATAGTAAATAAAAGTCGATGCTCGTTTCGAGTGGTATTTGGCTGCAGCAAAGTACGCCCCGTCTTCGCACCCGTTTAAGAAGGACCCCCACCTGGTGAGCCGCCGACCAGCCGCTTTACTTAGGTGCTTACCTACTCGTGAGTAACTCGTAGCGCATACTCGGTACAACAGGTACTCCGCTCCTTGGTATCCACGCACCCGCCTAGCACCCCTGTAAGGTAATAATTAAGCTTATACGATGTCGGCTTAGCTCCCGCCTGAGATCAAGGCTTAGCCCAAAGCTTAATATATGGTTGTTTTCGCCCCTGCCCAGCCAGCCCACTCACCCCTCCATCTCTGCCTGCCTCCTGGGCCATACAAGACCATACCGGCCAAGTTGTAGATGTCCGTGCAGCACCGCCCCGGCCATCTCGTTCGGTAGGCTACTTTTCTCAATACCGTCCTCACTGTCTTCCTCCCTGAACACCTTAGCTTCACCTTCACCGTGTCCAACAATATGGGCCTTGTCGAGCTGGACGGCGGTATGCCTGGCGTTTGCGGTCAGCAAAGAGAAATCTCGAATATGAGTCGTGTGTATCTATCTTACTTGGTCAGGTGATGGTCGACACTGGGAATGAAGAAAGTACAGATCAATGCCGCCCCTATTGCTAGGTTAGCGTTCCCGACTCGGTGCCCTGGGGAGAAAATCATTACCTGTGAACACGATCGTGATCAAGTACACGAGAGAGAAAGCGTCGGCATAGACCGCTTGAGAGGCACGGGTGGCAGCCTCTATCACTTCAGGAGTCGCTCCTATGACGGCATCAAGGGCACCCGGTTTGCCGGAGACGAAGGCAGCTGTAATCGTCGTTAGTCTTGTCATCTGAATTGTACGCGTGGGAGGACAGCACTGACTGATGAAGCCTGCCGCCGAGTCTGCAGGCAGCCCCGCATCCACCACAGCGGCGACCAAAGCTGGCGACAGTGACTCTCTGACTTTGTTCCCAACCACCGATGTGCAAATCGCGAGACCAATGGAACCCCCCGCGCTTATAAGCGTGCCACGTATTCTGCGTGGCGGATTAGCGAATGGGTCGATCCAACAGGAGCGGGGACAACGTCTTACCCAGTCGCGGCACCAAGGCGGGTATCGCCAGCCCCGAACTGCACGAACAGCGTCGCGATTATGCTACTTCCGGCTATGGTAAATTTCGCAATCAGGCAGAGAACAACAGCTCTCGCCAGCGAATCCCTGGTGATCGATGCCATTGCAGCAGTAAAGGCGCATTGGAAAACCGCGTAGACGATCAATTGATATTTGGTGTATTTGACGATGCCAAAGAGCGAGCCGGACACGATGATTCCCGCTGTAACCATATCAGCACCAGGGAACGAGGAGTTTGTTCGGCTCGGAAAAGAAGACATACTGGTTCCAGCGCCATTCATGCAGAAACTTAACCAGCCAGCCCGACCCGGTTCGGTTGTGAACAAGCGTTGAACCTCTGCTCGCCTGTTAGCCGGCACGCAAGTTTGTGGTATGGTATATGAAGTACTCACGCTGAGGCCAGAAGACTTGGAAGCTCACCAGCTATTATGAGACCTTGTCAGTCGACTTTGAGCAACACCTCGCTTGGGCTTTTTTTCGGGAGACACCGCCGACTTACCACAACCCCGTTGCAGAATAAACAAACAAGGGGCAAAACGACCGTTCTGAACCTGGTCATCAGCTCAGGGGGGAAGAGTTTGTCGATCTTGGGGTCGCTGTATCTTTCCCAGAGTGGCACGGCCACAATAAGCGTCACGGCTAGAATTTCGCGTCAGATATATATATATCAACGACATCTGGAGAAAGCGACGACCATACCGCCGATCAATAGTGGTGCAAGGACCTTTGCGCTGATCCATGGGGTGGGATTGCCACCCCAGCCAACTCCCAGGAGAAAAGCGATCAAACCTCCACCAAAGAGGACAACACAGACATAGTCAAGTTCTCGGATTTGTTGCTTTCGAGATTTGCCGTCCGGGTGAAGACCAACCCAGCCAGGAGGCCAATAGAAGCAGACGAGGGTGAGAAAGGAAAGACCATTTGCCAGGCAGCCGAAGTAGAAGGTGTACCGCCAGGTCAAGGTCTTGACAATATTGAAACCTGATTAACGACTTAGCTAAAAAGGGTGGTCCTTCGTCTTGCTCGTAGAAAGGAATCAACGAACCGATGACTGCGCCGAACATGGAGCCTGGCAAGGCTGCAAAGTTCATGGCCGCAAGGACCGTGCCGCGATGTTTTCTTGGGACAATGTCAAAGGCCGCTGCATAGGCAATCTGCTGAGTCGAAGCGCCAACACCCTGTGTCATTTCACTGCGTTTTAGCCGAGTACGTCGAAAAGAAACAACCTCCCCCCCCCCCCCCCCCAAAGGGTCACAATCGGGGGTAAGAACTGTACCATCAGTGTTGTACCAGCGATGACAGTGCTGATTGTGTTTGCACTATATAATCTTGTCAGAAATTCTTCCTTTTCCATGTTGCGTCGTTTTTCCTGCACGAGAAAGGAAAGAAAAAGGGGACTGGACTACGTACCGTCCCGCAACCAAGGTTCCTAGCATTTGGTCTTAGCATTCTTCCCCCCCAACTACACAAAAGAAAGGATCCAGATGGAGGGAAGGGAAGCGTTTGTATAAACGTACCAACAAAGCCAAGTACGCTGCCGGCAATGAGAAAGTATCGGCGTCCAAAGATGTCGGTGAACCTCCCGGCAATGGATTGTAGGATGGCGTTTGACAGGGACCATGTTGTACTAATCCAGGTGAAATCGGGCGAGGGGCCAAGATCGTTGTTGATGGTCAGGAGAACGGCCGATGGGACAACAAAGGAGAACAGAGCCGCTTCGTAGGTGAGCGCGAGAGCCTACCAGAGATGATAGCCCGTCAAGTCAGCAGGGCATCCTTGTTGAGTTGGGGGGAGAGCAGTTCATACCAGCAGCGCCAGGTAGACACGGGGACCAATCTTCACGTTGGCCTCGTCAGGCGCCGCCGTCTCGCGGTCGAGATTTCCATCACTCAGATCAGCTTTGGTTTCATCGTGGACGACGTCCGTTGGAGTTTTCGCCTGGTCTTCAACAGCCATTGTGATGGTGGTGAAGTATTCCAGAGGTGGACTGGGTTATTCCATTGTGGGCAAAGCGAAAAAGGGGTGATGCCCTTTATATCTTTCCATCCCATCGACCCTAGCCTGTCACGCCTGATGAGACTATCCAGAGCTACTAGGTATCTAACGAAGCCATCTCGTCTGCTGAATGGTTCCCCCTTCCCTCCCCCGGAAATATTCGCCAAGCCCCCGCCAAGTCACCGCCAAGGTTTTCCGCTGGCGCGATTCCCCGTGGGGGAGACGAAATCCAGGTGTCCAATACCGGAAGTCAGAGCTTCCTCGGCCAATACAAACTATCGCACTAACGACTCGAACCCAGAATCCTCGGGACTCGGAAGATCATCCATGCGGTCATGAGCAGTGTTTCGAGATCTGCGTTTGTTGCCCACGAGGCTTTCTTAGATTGTTTTTTGGTTCTCAGCCCATGGATTCCCGAGAGCGAAAGAAAGCAAGTCATCCCTAAACCCCTATGTCTCGCCAAACACTCGAGAGCGCCAAAGCGAAATCGTCCCGGAATCCAGGCCTCGCGAAATTCGAGAGGCAGGCACCAATTCCCGGATCCTTGTCCCTCGCCAAAACTGCGAGAAGCAACCAGCTGATGATCATCCTAATTCGAGCCTAGAGGCCCAAATAAACATGGACGAGTAGGATGAGGAAGCACCAAGGGTCATGTGGACCCCCTTTCCTCCCCTCCTTGCCCTCCCCCAAACGAAAATACGACGGGACAGGGATAATTGCTGTGACTTAGTCCTCTGGCTAACCCTGTGGCCTGGGCCATGTTCTCATCAAGGACTTCGACCGCCCATGATCGAGCCAGGTCGACCGGAAGGGCGAAAAGGCTGGGGGAGGCGTTCTTTCTCGCTCTCGCAACGTGGTCTCGGACGGAACCTGCCCTGATCCCGAGATTAGACGAGTTCCTTCGCCCCAGAAGGTGCTAGTACTTGCCTCCAGGTAATTTGTATGATGGATCCTGGATCCTGAACGGGACGGACACTCGAGCTTGCTTGACCAATTCCATTTTAACAACAAACCCACACAATCCATCGATATACATATGTATATACGCTCGTGATGATACCCGATTCTCCTCAAGCTCATGAGATCTTGCAGCACTGCGATCTCGAGCATACGATGAAGCCTGATAGTTAAATACGGCAGGCACGTCCAAGTCAAGTCACCTGGGTGGTTTGTTCCAGGCCAGGCACTCATTCCACGTACATACCCCTAGGTGCTTGAAGCAAGGCCCGGCTACCCCCCGGGTATCCGAGACCCAACTTGCGGGGGGGGAATACGAGGTGGGTGTTGCAATGGGACAATGAGATTCTAACCGAGCTGGAGCGCCAAACCCGTTAGCGCAGCGTCGCCGTCGACAAGCAAGCGGACGACGACAAAACAACAACGGCCAAAACGGCGGTGTCTCTCTTTTTTCTTCTGGGTTTCCCGAAGAAAACGCAAAAAAAAAACTCAATCCAAGAAAAAAAAAAAGGACACCCTACAGTAGTTATTTTGTCCGGGGAGAGGGTGAAGCTACACTCCCAAGGCTATGTATGATTGATTGTTCGATTGAGCCCCGGCATAGCATACTTCACTGCAACGGGTTGCCCACGACCTCGGGATCGGAACGTCGACCGCAAGCAAGAGAGGGGAACGGATGGATGAATTTGTTCTCCTACTCATGCTGTGGTGTTTGATGTCCTGGATCTGTTCCCTCGACCAGCCGCCGTGGTGGCCAGAGCGTAGGACCCGTTGCAAATACAACGACACCGGGAATCAAATGGCCTCTCTGTCGATAGTATGTATGTAGAAGGCTACAACCTGCAAGAGGCTCTCGTGTTGTACGAGTGACATCTCTCGAAACCAGCCCTCACCTTCCTCCCCCCTCCCACCTTTGCGACGAGCCCACCGAACTACTCGGTTGCAGCGCTTGTCGGCAAAAGTCCCTCGGGACTATTTCCTACCACTGACTCTTGGGGCGTGTCTTGTTCTCGACGCCCTTGAGACCAAAGACTTCAACAGGGACACTGAGTTGTTGTTACGTGATGCCAAGGTGATAGGTTTGTGCCTGGTTAAGTTCTCTAGCAAGTGCATTCTTGCCGAAGCAGACTTGTTCCCAAAAAGTGGTTTGTATATCGACTAAGTATTTGGCTGTAGAAGGGCCTCGGGGGCTTTTGGTAGGTATGTATCAAGTACAGGTTCTATGAGCCTGGCGAATCTCTCCCTCGGGTCTTTCTGTAATGCCCCTTCTACAAGAACCACAAAGTCGCCCCCAGCCTGGCTATCCCTAGACATTGTTCATGGGCGCGACGCACACCTTTTTAGATTGCCGTGCACCGTGGCGTACTTGGAACTAGTGCAGGGGACCACGAGTCCACGATACGATACGGAAACGAAGAATGCTTGGATACGATGTTTCGGAAGACTTTGTTAGTATTGCCTGGTCTGGTCTGGTCCGGCCAGGTCATGACACGACTCATGAGTCGTAAGTCTGGCTGGCAATGACTACCCTCTATTCCATCCCCGACCAACCCCGTCTTTCGGGGAAAGGGGGAACCCTCGAAGAAATGGTCCCATCCGACAGCCCGTCCTGGGACGGAATTCAAGGGCCCGCACGACTAGCTTGCGACGGAGATGCTGAGGAGGAGCTGAAGTCGTTCCCCTGGCGTCTTTGGCGATATCTCCCTTGAAGAGGGGGGAGACGCACCGCTATCAAGGATCTTCTCGCTACACTTCGTTCCGAGAACGCAAGCGTGTCATTGATATTGACTCGTGCGTCAACTCAGTGGCTGGTGAGCATCCGGGATTTATTCAACAGGAATCTCGAAGCCCTGGGTTGGGCGTGGAGCGTGGAGCGTAGAGCGTGGAGCGTCGTGATCATAAGATATATTCTAGATATATCTAGCCCATGCATGCACTGTATCTTCTGTATGTACCCCGAGAGTGTGCAGCTCTTCTCTTTTCTTTTTATTACTCTTTCCCCTTTTCGTTCTTTGTGTGATTTATCCTGTGCTGCGCCGGTGCCATGCCAAACCAAACCATATACCCAATGCAACGCAATGCAATGCAATGCAAGACGACGCTGTGCAAATCGCCACGATGTCCCTGACAACTTTTTTGAGGTACACAAAACCACCTCTTCGACAAACAAGACAAAAACTCTCGCAGAATTCTCAATTCGCGCGCGAGTATTCCCTCCTCAGAACAATCGCCTCCTTCATAAAGGGGCTCCGTTGCCTCAGTCGCCGGCCTGCGAACAATATACACACGGGCGCAAAGGAGAGGAGTAGAGCCAGGAAGCCCAACAGGCTGCTGGCCCAACGGAAGCCGAGATCGGTGTACATGCTCTGCGCGGCGAGGGGCAAAAAGGCTGAGAACAGGTTCTCGCCCAGCACGACGGCTGCACACGCACTACCAGCGTACTTGGCGTATGCGTCCACCACATAGTCGGCGATCGCTACCACCACCACGTTCACCCCGTACCCGACCATGGCGAGGCCGATTGCCGGTGCGATCCAGGGTGCGGAAGGGTAGGAGGTCCATCTGCGACGGTGAAGAGACATTAGTTTTCGGTTCTGATTATACAAGCAGCAGAGGAGACAAATGGAGGCTTCTTTCAGTCCATTGTCCAATATCCAGCGGGTGCATACGGCAAGAGGCAAGGAAACTTACCCATACACAAACATACCACCGGCCACGCCGACGAAACTTCCGAAAACACTCACATAAAGTCGAGCTTCGGGTATGGGTGTCCCCGGCACTTCCGTATTGCGGGACACTGAGGCGAAGTACAGCTTGGCATTGATGAGAACTCCAGTCCAGCCGACGAACTCGCCTACAACGACTGCTGCTTGGACATAGCCAGCCTGTGAGGCTGACCAGCCGTACAACCCAGCGAAGACCTGCTCGACGGACTGGGTGAAGAGATAAACGGTACCGACCATGAAAGCTGACCAGAGTGTGAAGACAAAGAGGACCGGTTCGGTGAGGAGCATCCGCAAAGGCCGCTTCGTGCTCCGAATCAACTTGCGTGGCAGACTCAGATGGCCTCCGTCGTGTGGGCCCAGTATTGCGACGCCCGCCTTCTGTAGCTTCAAAGCACGCTTTTGAAGGATGATGGAACCCCTGCTCTCCTGGAAAAAGAAGATGTAGATGGGGAAGAGAGCGCCATACCAGATCAGCTGGATATACGAGATCCATCGCCACGACAGGTTTTCGAATATGACACCCGCAATAACAGGTCCGGTGCTACTCCCGGCAAGGTAGAGAGTGACGAAGAGACTCATAGGGATGGTGCGAGCGCGGTCGCCTTCCCAGATGTTGCCGATCAAGGCTGCAGCGGTGTTGGCGAGGACAGACACGCAACCACCGGAGAAGAACCGCGAGACGATCAGCGTTGCGAAATTTTGCGCCACTGCCTGTGGGATGATGAAGCAGATGAAGACGATGTATGTGAGAAGGAATGCGGGCCGCACACCAAAATCCTCCATCAGAGGCAAAACGACGAGGCCACACAAACCACCCCCCAAGGCCCAACTAGTGACTGGCCAGTACGAGTTTGGAAATTTGGCGTCACTGACGCCAAACTCATTGTTGATAGCCTCGTGGGCGACGGTGATCATTGTGCCGTTCAGGATCGTCGTGAACGTCGCCAGGATCCCTACCGCGGTGATTGTCCATTTCTTGCGCAGGGGCCAGTTGTATGGGTTTTCCGGGTCGTCGGGCCCATACCAATCGATGACTCCCAGGGCGACCCCGTCACTGGGAAGACCCGTAGTATTCCCATTTTGGATTTGGGTGACTACCTTCGACTCCTCATCGAATTCTGTCATCGGCAAATCGGAGATATCTCGTACTTTCGAGAGAGAAAATGAGGTTGGAAATGAAAGTCACAAGAGGAAAAGCAGCTCAAGGCAGCCGTTGCAACGAGCGGAAGGGAATGGCAGCAATGCACACAAGACAGCGTAGAGAGAAAGACAGTGTCCCATGAAGCAGGAAGTGCAAATAAAAAATCTGACTATGTATATATTTCCTTCGCCGAGTCAACAAGTGGCGGGGCAATGGCCCAGTGTGAGGAGCCGTTAGATCTCTCCTCATCTTTCTTCGGGCCATTACCAATATCAGACTGGAGATGCCGGACATGAGCGGACTTGTCAGAGAGTGAGCAGCTTTTTGCGGGTTCCGGATGACGACAAAAACGTTTTTGAAGCTTGAGGGCAAATTTTCTCCGAACTGTTACCTAATGAATTGCCTGGAATGTCTCTAGACGCTCCTGCCCACCGGGTGACTTTAAAGGATGGCTTCTGTACAGGTATATGACTCGTGGCGTAAGGATTCCGCGTATGAGAAAGCCATTGACATTTCGAGGGCGAAGCATCGTGGAAGAAGAAGTCGATATTGCCTGATGTAATGCGAAGATGAGATTGTGTGTTTGGTCAGAGCCTCGTTGGGACAAGGATGCACGTGCACGCCAAGGCCGATCGGTCTCCCAAGCCGATGGATTAAACCGTATGTCTGACAAGATATTATCACTTGGTTTGGTTGTCATTTTCTATATTTTGCAGTCGGGTCATCTTGTATGAGGATCCGCTCTGAATCATATTGTCATGAAAGTCCAATCTTGGCCTCCTTGGATCATAAATGAGGTACCCCCAAACTCGCCAGTACCAAGTTCAAAATACTAACCACGCCTTCTCCTAGAATTAAGCCGCTTGCCAGCACAATGACCCTCGTCTCCCCTCTCCCTTTCCATCGTACCCACCAGAGAGAGATCACGCCGCCAACAGTCCTCGCCAGTGTGAAGCTGGGAGTGTTGTACATGCCCACAGCCACTGCAATACCTCCTGGGATCCACGGGTGCAAAGCCTTACACCAGGGCTTGGAATCCCTATATGCGAGTAGGTATATCCGCAGAGTGGTGGTGAGGACAAATACCACGCCAAAGAGGAGGGCGAACTGCCAGGCCATGGGAGGAAGACCCTTGCCCGTCACCAATCGTGCAGTGAAGATCCAAACATAGGCTGTGGGTATCTCAAACAAGTCCCCTGGGATTGGGTAGACGGAGACGTACAACTTGTAGACTGCAGCAGAGACAAAAGCACCCACGACACTCCCTATAAGCTGACCATAGAATTGTGCTTTGGGTGACGCCCCAATTAAATGTCCGGCTTTGAGATCTTGGAGAATGTCGCCAGCTTGAAGTGCTCCCGCTTCGCTTACAGCTCCTGCGAGCAGATTGATGATTATGCTGTGGTTTGCATGTGGACCAGTTGGTGTGATCAAGGCAAACACCAATTGGGTGAGCTTCGAGATTCCAGAAACGGGGTTCAAATCGGTTTCCCCAAGTGCGCGGACCCCCATGATGGACAGGACCAAGGCGAGAAGGATGGCAAGGATGTTGAGTCCGATAGGGATGTAATCGCCAAAGGTTATGTGGATGCATACAACGCAAAGGATCAGCGTGATGGGAAGGAAGATGGCGACGGTTCGCGTGGTCACGAGGTGGTGAGGCGGTGCATCGTCAGGAGGATCGTCACGAGTTGTCTTCGTCGGGTTGGCGGTAGGAGAAGACGGAAGCGCGTGTGCGGATGAGTCGAGGGAGATATAACCGGCAAGTTGTTTACCGAGCAAGAAGTCGGACCAGGAAGGGCTATCCCTGTAGTGCCCGCGGAGAGACTTGATCCAACCCGGGCCATAGTGAATGGTTGGGCGAAGGAACAGCCAGCCCAGATTGACGACTGCATCGGCCAACATGATTGCCAGGCTGACCCAGACGATCCAGCCCTTGCTCCCTGTTTCCCAGTCGTCCACAGGTCCTGGCGCCCACCCGTTGTGCTTGGCTATTGGACTCAATATGGCCCATCCTACAATAGCACCAAGAAGCATATGGAATGTGGTGGCAGGTCCCATGATAATACCTTGACCAACATATGCGGGCGAAGGATTGAGTGTCCATTCCCACTTGTTCGCCAGGTGGGTGCCAAAGACGGGCAGTTTGTGGAAAATAGGAAGAAAGTATTGAACCAGGGTGTATGCGCCGGAGCCAAGGAAGGCAACCACGAGAAGTCGAATTTGTCTTTTCCAATCTCCTCGCATATCACGTCCTTCCGCCTGTTCTGGTTGGTTGTCTCGGTCGCTTTCCCTCAACAGTTCCTCGCGTTCTTCGGTCCCTTGGGTTTCGATTTCTCGATCCTTGGCCTCTCCGCTCTTGGAACCACCATGCAGAACACTTATCATGAGGGCTGTCGCAGTCCCACTGGGAAACTTGAGGCGCTCGCGGATAATGACCTGTTTTCGTAAGGGGACTCCGAACACGACGCCGAACAAGCAGAGCCCAATGCCCCAGACAAACAGCCTCCAGAGACTCAGGTCAACCGGGGCACCCTCACTCTCTTTAAGCAGAAACTGTATGCTGGGCATAACGCCAACGAACCCCAGTCCCAGCGGCATAGTGCCGACCGCTCCAGCAACCGTCTGGACTAGGACATTCTCCACGGGCGTAAAAGGGAGGACCAAAAAGCGAGATAGCGACTTGAAGACGGCGAATCCGATCAGAGAGGCTGGCATTGCCATCCCAGACACCCAACCGGTTTGCAGGCCAAAGTATGTATTGGAAAAGGCGATGAGAACTCCAATGCCTGTGCCTACTGCAACACCTCGAAATGTAAAATTTGTCCCATCCAAGGCCGAGTCATACGCGCCAGGGACGGCATAGCGGGCATGGTCAGATTGTACGCGGGAGATATCTTGCTGTTGACTAGCCTGCGGAAGCAATTCATGGTCTTCAATATCGGACGTGGAGGGGGAGTGGGTGTGAGAGGGTGCGCCTCTATCGGGAGCCATATCGGGCGAATCTCAGGGTCCTGAATCTCGATATAGGAGATCCATGGGGGAGGGAAGACAGGGAAGGTGGTGGCGGGCACCAAGGTGACTTGGCTCGAGCTAATGCGGATGGAATGGCGGGCGAGTGTAGATAGGGAAAAGTGAGGCTCAAGATTCTTGTTACAATCATGATAGCAACTCGGGAGGTTCTGGCGTCATCGCTCCGTTGATTTTCCGGTATCACGTGTAGAGTTGTGCTTGGCTCCTTGGCTATCTAACTAGGCCTTGCTAGGTTACCTCTCTAGGTACCCTGTTGGGCCTGGAGCGTGGTAGCGAGTACCTATTCGGGTACAATGGGCACCCGTAACTTTGCCTGTGGTGGGCTGATAGTGGGGTTCGTGCTCCGAGATGCACCCCGAAGTCAAGTCACGCATTGCTCCTCACTCTACCCAAAGTTGCGTCCAGAGCTGCATCACAACGTGCCTCTGCGATCCTGCACTGACCCATGGTCCCATCGAACGGTCTGGATTCGACCATGTCTCCCAGAGGAATGCACCCAGAGCAGCGGGCCAACGCCATGCACCTCATTCCTCGCGTTGTTTCTGCCATGCGCCACGAGGTTCCCACTTTTCGAGGCCATGGCTCCATCCGTCCAATCTCGTGTGTTTTCTCGAAGGTCAATGACGCTCTCATGCCTGCGGTTGGTGGTACACACGGGCAGGAGAGGCAGGTCTAGCAATGCCACCCATTTCTCGAGTCTAAACTCACAGCGATCATCGCACCCTGCCGATCTCTCATGGCTGCCCATCGTGGCCTATCTCTCAAAGTGTTCCTGTGACTCTCGGTTATTCCGTCATTCCCTCGACCCTCTTGTTACGAACTCGAACTTGGGTCACCCAACACCAGTACCCTCTCGAGTACGCTAATATGTCTAGACCTTGTCCTATAGCAATCCTGCCATGCCGCTTCACATTTTGTCACAGCTGAGCATGAGCAGATATTGGACTACCTTTTGGTACAAACATTGCAATCTCAAAGCGCAGGAAACGGGGGCTTGGAGGTTAGGATAGAAGGGCAGACAAGCATCTGCCTTCTCTCACCATGGCTCCAGAAGCGGCGCGAGAGCGTGAAATGCACAGGTACTGCTCTTCCTATCCCTGTCCATGACCTGACCTGCTCACTCAGTCTCCAGGTACTACCAGCCGTGGCTCGAAACCTTCTTGTCGACCGACTTTGAACCTGCCTCGGACTTTCCTCCCTCTGCTACTCAGGCTGATGCCCATCGGCCTCGTTCCTCGCGAGACAAGGCGTTGACTGCATTTGCGCAACTGGGCTGCCTCCGCCTGAACGCCAAAAGATGTATAGTCACTTTGCTGGGGACTACGAGGCAATATATCATAGCCGAAGCTACGAAATCTCTATCGCTTTTGAGCGATGACCACCACGATGAAGGAGACGAGTTGTGGTTCGGAAATTCTTTCATTGAACGAGACGGTGGCATCTCGGCCGACGCTATGTATTGTGACAAGTATACCGCCTATGATCCAGATGGCTCTTCCTTCACCACCGAAGCGTTAGTTGTCAGCGATATCGCCACACATGAGAAATACAAAACTCGAGGGTACGCTGGTCGGGGTGTTTCGTTTTATTGTGGCGTGCCAATCACCACTCAATTGGGCCATGTCATCGGGGTGTACAACGTCAGCGACGACAAGCCCCGCGAGGGTCTCACGGCAACTGAACTTCATTTCCTACGGGACATGTCCGCTATCGTCATCCAACATTTGGAAAGTGTACGGAATGATCGTGCCAGGAAGCGAGGGGAGCGCCTCATTTATGGGATTGGGACATTCATCGAGGGCGACAAGGCTGAAGGGAGTGAAGACGATTCCAGTTCCCAACGCGATAAGTCCAGTAGCTCCAAATCGAGCCAGAATACCCATCCCGAGGCAACCAAGACCGCTGAATTCATGGGTTTGGTGATTGGAGACGCAAATACACCTGCGGAAGACTCCAAACTCGGGGCCCTTACCCGCGACCGCGCAAATGGCAGAATGACACCAAAGTCTTCAGGCTTCAGTCAGAAAGGCATCCTCAACCACGTAGCCAGACACACGCAATCGGCGCATTCTGCTAAATCAGCCAAAGACAAGATAATGCAAGAGTCTCACCAAGTGTTTGACCGTGCCGCCGCTGTTCTCCAATATTGCCTCGACGCTGATGGGGTTGCGTTTCTGAATGCAAGCTCCGCGAATCTGAGCTCAGGTTCGAGCATGAAAACATCTGGAGCTGCTCTATCAAAATTCCATCATGATAAATCCCAAGGAAGACATCACTCAGACCATCAGAACGGAATGGACGGCGCCGAATCACAGCAAGGGCTTGCGAGGGACGATTCTCTCTCCTCCAGCGACGATACTGCGAGTACGCGGAGCAATAGCGACTCGTCTGCTTCCCAAAGCAGGAGTCAAAAGTGTGAAATTCTGGGTATCTGCACAAGCGATCCTAACCAGTCAATCAGCATCGCCGACCAGACCATGCGGCGTCTGGTTCGACGTCATCCGAGAGGAAAGTCCTTTACATTCGACCAGTTTGGCAAGCCAGCCTCCAGTGACGAGAGCTCTGAGTCTGCGTCGGCTGTGGATATTTCCCTCCTGGATGCTGACCAAGGATCGAAAGCAGGAAAGCATATTCCCACCACCAATTCTCTGTTGAAAGCACTACCCGGAGCAAGGAAGATTGTCTTTCTGCCGTTGTGGGATTTTGCGAAGGAGCGGTGGCATGCTGGACTGATAGTTTGGTCGAATGATGCAGGCAGTCTGACTAACGTTGAGGACGATATGGTTTACCTGAAAGCTTTCAGCAACGCGATTGTGAATGAGCTCAATCGCATTGATCTAGCACTTTCCGATACTGCCAAGTCAACATTTCTGGCCAATATCTCTCACGAGCTACGCTCGCCTCTTCACGGGATTCTGGGGAGTATTGAATTCCTGCACGATACGGCCATGGATGACTTTCAATCCTCTATGGTCATCAGCGTTGAAACGTGTGGCAAGACGTTGCTCGACACAGTCAATCATGTCCTTGATTACGCGAAGATCCACAGTCTGTCCAAATCTCAGCGACAAGACCCCGCTTCTAGTCCGGGCCGTGCGCAACGGAGCAAACCTGAAACCAATCTGACGGAGGATTTTGATATGGCGGTTGTGGTGGAAGAAGCCGTTGAAGCTGTGTACGCCGGCCAAGTCTTCCGAACCGCCAACGCAGACGCATTGGAAGGGAAATCGCCTGTTCAGACGGCCGCGAGTCGAGCCATGCAACAACGCCTGGAGCGACGGGCCAATATCAGCAAAGGCTCGGCCAAAGCAGCATCCGCGGTCCGCCTTACCTTGAACATCGACGATCATACCAACTGGTGGGTCAGATCTCAACCCGGGGCTGTTAGGCGGATTGTCATGAACATTCTGGGGAATGCCTTGAAATATACTAGCAAAGGGAGTATCAATGTTGCGCTCGAGGTTGATCGCTCGCGTAACAAGGCGAGCTCGAATCTACACATGCTGCTGAAGATTGCCGACACCGGCCGCGGCATGTCGGATGATTTCATGAAGAATCACGCATTTACTGCATTCTCCCAGGAAGACACTTTGGCTACAGGTACAGGCCTTGGGCTCAGCATTGTCCGACAAATTGTCGACTCTCTTGGAGGCAAGATCGATCTGTCAAGCGAGAAGGACGTGGGCACCGAAGTACGAATCTGGCTCAGACTACCAAAGAGTCAGAAGGATATCAGTTCGTTGCCCGAAGCAAACATTATTCCAGAGATGCGCCAGCGCACCACGGGACGAGAGATGTGTATGCTCTTGCCCTATGATGAGAAGAGCAGCGAAACCGATGTCCGCCATCTTGTCCCGATGCCGACGATAGAGAGCTCAATGCGGAACTTGGTGTCTCAGTGGTTCCGAATGAAGATCACCACGACCAAGACCATGGATGGTCTCTCGCCGGACTTCTTTATCTATCCTGAGCCACCACCTATTGACTACCTAATTGACTACCACGGCAAGCCAGAAACGGAAAGAGAAGTCCCCGTTATCATCTTGTGTACGAATGCATTCGAAGCAGCATCCTTGAGGTCAAACGGCATCCACTACCTTACGGATATTGGCAGAGTCATCGAGGTGATTGCACAACCGTGTGGGCCGCAGAAGCTTGCTAAGGTGCTTCATCGGTGTATGCAACGGCTGGAGATGCTACAAAAGGACCATGCGAAAAAGCCCTCGAAAACAGCAGCGTTATCTTTCGGGCGAGACCGAATTGTGGATAACGAGAGCAGCCGAGCAAGTGAGGATATTTCCAGGCCAGATGAAGAAGCAGTTCAGGACGTTGACCATACCTCTACGCCTGATGGTGACGGTATAGCCAAGCGCCAGTCGGTCGATGATTTGCGCAAGGTTCCCACCGAGAACCAGTCCAACTCGAGAAAACCATCATTAGTAAAAATGGGGACTTCAGAAGAGGTGGTCACATTAAACCAATCAGATGTTACGCAAAGCGCTGCCCTGCCTCGAGAACCCGACACGAACAATTCCCGCGTCCTGGTGGTCGACGACAATCACATCAATTTGCACCTCCTCGTTACATTCGTTCGCAAAGCAGGCTACCCCTTCGAGTCGGCCACTGATGGATTGAAGGCTCTAGAAGCATACAAGAAGAGCGTCCAAGAGGGTGCTGGTCAAAATCCCTTCAAACATATCTTTATGGACATTTCCATGCCTGTGATGAATGGGATAGCTTCGGCTAAGGAGATTCGACGATTCGAGAAGGACAACAAGGTTAGCCCACCCGCTAAGATCATCGCTCTGACGGGTATGGGCAGTGATGTTGCCCACAATGAGGCGATCGACGCCGGGTTTGATGAGTTCTTGAGTAAGCCGATTGTAAGTTCAACCTCCACCCCGAGTCTATTGTCAATTGGAGGAAACCAACAAAGAATCCATTTGGGCTTTGTACTGATGTGTCTGTTACAGAAGTTCAAGGATCTGCAGAAACTACTGGTCTGAATGAACGCCACCCTATGGGACCTGTGTCCACGCCGTGGGATGTAGGATGTTCTATCACCTTGATGCATTGTCTCTAGCATTTACAGAGAATTCGCAATTGGCTGCGTGGTGGACCTCCCACGCGAAGGGCGGCATGAACAGAAGGCATCGAGATAGAAAGAGATCCACGGGGCCTCCGAGAAGAAACGATGCACGCTCGTGACATGATGGATACAACATATATGTGGTGTTTGCTGTGACGGTGAGGCTTTCACGGCATGCATGGACGGCGCAATGAATCAAGAAAAAAGACCATGGGGGCTTTAACGACGTGATTGATACATGATGGATGAGACCAAAAAGAACTGGACGGGACGTTGCATTCATTATTACTTGTCTGTTTTTTGGGGCGCGAGCGACACGTCGAATCTTGTAACTTTAGTAACTATATGTACCTACCTAGGTAGGTAGGTAACATATGTAGAGACCCATTGCCTAGGTACCTAGGTAGGTATCTGAGGTATCTTGGAAGTTTCCTCTTACGTGCTCTTCATGTTCATGTTCTTGTTCTTGTTCTCGTTGGTTGTCGAGAACCCTGGGTTGCACTCCAAGTTGCACGTGTTACATACACATATACAAATACAAGTACATACACGTAATACCTAGCTAGGTAGGTATCCATACACATATCCTAGATACACACATATACCGCATAAGGTACTACAGAGCAGGTATATACATAGGTAGGTAGGTAGGTAAGTAGCTATGTGAAGGAAACGCATCCACCTACCCCGTTTCCTTGTTTGATGGGGGACGACGGCGACGGCGATGAGAATGAGGATCAAGATGGTCATGTTCTTTGCTCTTTGCTTTTTTTCTTTTTGCATTTCGCTTTTGCTTTTTGCTATCGCTATCGCCATCGCTACCGCTGGGATCCAAACAACCCTTGTCTGCTGGAACCTGTCGACGCCAATTGCAGTGCATCGCTTTCACCCATTTCCGGGAAAGCCTGCCTGGGTACGAAAAAAACTCCATTTGCCCACAAACACAGGTACAGGTATATATACATACATGTGCTTCCCCTTGGGGAAAGGATTGCGCATTGCTGAAACCTATCAACTACACCGCATATCCCGTGTATTTGTGTGTGTGTGTGTGTGTGTTTGTGCTGCACATTTCCCCTGTGTTGTGCAAGGCAAACACTTGAAATGACGGTCTCCCTTTCCCGCCTCCCCCCTGTGTGTCTGTGCCATGTCGAACCGGAACTGTTGCCCTGTGGAAAACAAAAAGGAAAAAAAAAAGCTCGAGAGTAATGAACAAGATGGGGTATAGTAAAGTCCAAGAATTGCTTCAAATGAATGCAAATTGTTGTACAAGGGTTCGTTCAGTGGTGGAGATCGAGAATGCCACTTGATGGCACGTATGTTAGGAAGTGTGCGTAGAATTTGTGAACATGGAGGTGTGTTCTGAACATTGAGCCCTGGTCGAGGGCAAGGCAAGATGTGATCGAGCATCGTATGAAGAACGGCCAAGCGAGTAAGGACCGGTCGAGACGGCTTTGGCAACCGGTCCCACAATTGAATGGTTGAAGCATTTCTGGAGTCCTGACAGTCGAGGGTTGATGTACAGCCAGGTGTCGACAACCCAAATATCGCTCCTCATAACCCGTATAGTCCACAGTTTCCTTCTAAGAAGGAATTGTGACATTCCAACCTAGTCCAAGTGGTTCCAATATTGTCAAGTTCTTTTTTGCCAAAGTCGGACTCAGGTATCAAAACAGTCTGCCAAACACGTTGATTCCCGACGTCTTGGATCTGAGATGAACTCAACTAGTCACTCTTTTGATCCACAACCCAGTGGGTTGCTCGTAAAAGTCGTCTTTGTCCCTGCGCTTCTGTGCACGATGCAGCTTCAGCTGAACATCGTGCTCCTCGTTCTTGACTTCCTGAATTTCGAGATTCAGATTGGTTATCATCTTGTCGACCTCCTTGCGCTTTCTCGAGTCGTAGACAATCGCGTTCTTCTTCAGTGATTCCTGAAGTTCCAGGATGATTTTGTTCAGATTCCGTTTGCGCCGAGCGAGGTCCTCCAGTCGGGCACTGAGAGACGTGATTTTGTCCGCAGCTTGGAGTTCGCCAGGTGTTGGAGGAAGCGATTTAGTCGCTGACGTACCGGACATCAAAGACACGGCCCGAGGTTTGCCATTGCGGTCATTGGCGTTTGAGTCGTTACCAACGGCTTTTCGAAGGATGTTGGACGATTTCCGGCCGGTGATGGCTGAGAATGGGGAGATGCTGGTGTAGTTGTCGAAGCTGCGATGGCCACTATTGTTCGCTGCTACTCGTTTGCGGAGCACAATCGGTTCTGGAACTGCCGCAGGCGGGAGCTGTACTATTGGCACAGGACTGCTCGTTAGCTCCTCTCGTGCGATGGGACTCGAGGGAACATGACTGCTATCGTCCGTCGCATTGGTCGCATAAGTATTCCAACTCGACGTGGAATCTAATTCACGCTGCAGAGGATTTCGGTGCGCCGTCATATCGGAATCTTCGCTGGATCTCCTGTCAGGTCCGATGATGGAGGGCGTGTTCGAACCCAGCGTAGGGCTATCAGCTCCATACTCCTGAACGGTACTGGGGGCAGGGCTTTGAGCTGGCTCGACCATGGTTGGACGTGGGCCAGGACTTTGGAATGGGCTGTCTAGGAGCCGCGTATACTCCAACTGCTTGGGTGACAGTGCTTGCGGCGACAGCGCTTGCGGCATCTTCTTAGTTTTCAGTGGGGCAACGGGCTTCAGGCTCTCCTCCGAGTCCACGGTTTTGAGGTTCGGGAGTTGTGAGGCGGCAACAGAAAGTGAGTCGACAGGGGACAAAGTATTCTGTTCGAGAGGTGCCGTTTCCTCCGGTGTCTCGCTTCTCGTCTCGGTCTCGGGTATCTTATGCCGCTCTACCAGCATCAGCGGTCGGGTTCGCGCTTCTGGGGTGTTCTTCACAGGCTCGACTATGGCATGCCTACCACTTGCCCCTCTCCACGGCGGTCGTTGGATCGGGTTGTCCAAGGGGTCACCTGGGTTGGGTGGCGGAGATTTTGTCCAGGCCGACTTTTTGACTGTTTCTCTGTCCTTCAGACCAGCCAAGATCTGCCGCGTTCTCTCCTTGAGCTGGGGGTATGGCTGATCGTTCGAAGACGGCACTACTCCAGGACGGACCGAAGATGGCTTCCCTGCCTGGCTGGGTTCACCCGAGTATTCGTCCCACCGAGTCTCTTCATTTCCCTCCTTCCGTAGATTCCACCGCTTTTTGACCCCATCCTCAGGGGTATTGTGTGAGGCGGGGACAGGCAACTTCCGCGGAATCTGACTTTTGAACGACTTTTCTGACTGCGTGGGAGTCGGGAATGAGGGTTCGATGGGAGAGACCAGAGAGGCATCAGAGCCATTTGGGTGGAAGGAGGTCTGGCTGCTTAAGGGTGAGACACTGGCTAGACTGGCGTCATGTTGATGTCTCGGCTGCGTCGATGGCTGGTGAGGGTTGTAATCGGAGATATTGGGGGAGGCCGAATCCTGATCAATCGAGTAGACCGACGTTCGCTCCTCCATGGGCGGGACAGTCCGACTGTGACAAAAAGGTGGTCAGTGTGTTTTGAGGGAGAGAAGAGACAGCAAAGACGTACAATGGGAGTTCTGGGAGAGCAGTGGCCGCAACACTACTGCGGCGACTGTACAAAGACTCGACCTCGGGGATTGTCTCGAGGTACCTCTCGTCCATTGTTGGCTCGGGATAGGGATAAGCTTGGTAGCCCATCTGATAGTCTGGAATGTTGTTCTGTCTCCACATGCTTGCAGTCTATCTCGGGAATGCTGCTTCGGCACTGGAGAAGGTTTGCGACGCTCCGACAGAAGACGGGGTCGTCATACCGCGGGCAGCCTCTACGAGATCAGCGTGATGGAGCAGAAGTGAGCGGGAAGCGTCGGTGACTGATGTGAGTTTGCCCGCGGAGAGAAAGATGCCTGAGTCGTTTGTCGTCTAGGTACCGAGTACAGCAGGTGAATGGGCTTCCGCAGGCTGTCTTGATCAAGTTCATCGAGATCCAAATTCGTCTGTGTGATTGAAGCGAATATTACGGGGGAGCCAGGGGGTGAGATGCGTTGTCTTAATTTGTTTGTTCAGGACTCAGAATGGCAGTTTGACGAGTTGCCGATTGGCTGAGGCCGACTTAATCAGTACCCGGAACTGAATGTGGCAGAAATAAAGGTGAAACAAGGAACGACGGCCGCCGTTGATTACTTTGTTACTTCAGGGTCATCACTTTCGAGACACGGCCGCAGTCCGAGCCAACTTCTGCATCCTTTGGGCTCCTTGTCTGACATACAAGTCCGAGGGTACAGGTATGATCCATGGAGTTGACTTGTCCTCTGCACACGTGGTACCTGCCAGCTCTTTACGCGTTTTTATAAACTTTTGTTGTCATTGCCTGACCTGGTACTTGGTGGTGTGGAGATGGACCAACCCCGACCAGTCGATTAGGGGGCAACGAACCTGGGATACCCTGAATCAGGGACCTGCAGTACTACTACTAATGGCTCGCTGGCTGCACGCGAGCACTTACGAGTGACTTGTACAAGCACCAGATAGTGGACCGAGATACACGAGTGCCTAGGTGAGCTTCATCACATCAGCCTCATCCATGGTCAATTCCTAGCGGAGGCCCCATACCAACAATAGCGACAGAAGCACCCCCTATTGCCCCTCCTGCCGCTTAACCGAGAACCCTACTAACCATGTTCTCTTAGGTGACTTGGGCATGCCCCCAAGCTTCACGAGGCTCTTCTTCGGGGAATTCTCAGCCTTCGGAAATGACATCCGTCCTCCTCTACTACTCCTTCTTTACCCCCCCCCCCCCTGGTGTTCCCGTGCCCCTTTTTCCGCGAGAACTGCTACTTGTGCTGGCGATTCATCTCTCACAGTGACGGCATCATCCGGCAAACTCCTGCGCACCCGACGAGAACTACCAAAGGCAAA